CCCCAAAACCCCAAAACCCCAAAACCCCAAAACCCCAAAACCCCAGAAAGCAGCCAAAAGTTGAAAAGGAAAAGATATGAATAAAAATATTATAAAAGCTAAAAAGTTAAGGACCTACCGAGATTCGAACTCGGATCATAAGATTCAGAGTCTTATGTGCTGCCATTACACCATAGGTCCTATTCTGGCAAACCTTTGCCTGGATTAGGTTAAATACCAGGGTCTCTGAAAGAAATTTGTTAAAAGTTGAGACTTTTTAGCAAATTCCTTAAATTATTAGGTTTAAATCAGAAGAATGGTTTATAAATCTAAACCATGATTTTCAGTAAAATTAAGAATAAAATCAATAAAAATTAACTTTCTACCACCACATTATCAAAAAATTACTCAATTTTTTACAGAATTGGGTTATTAGGATGAATCTATATTACATTTCATCCTCAAGTTTTACGCTCATACATCTGAGGAACTCATGGAAGTCTACTTTTCCGTCTGCATTGGTATCGCTGTCTTCAATGACAGAGCTGAAGACTTTCATGTCAATATACTTAAAGTCCTTGCCGGCTAGGCAATCTTTTAGCTCACCTCAATCGATCAGGCCATCATTATCTATATCAAAGAAATTGAATGCTTTTGCAAGATTTTCATAATCTTTGTAAATGGAGGCATCTAGAGTTGCAGCAATGAATTCGTTAAAGTTGATGGCTCCGTTATAGTCAGTGTCCACACCCATGACGATTGCGCTAACCTCTTTTGAGTTCATATTAGCTGCGTTCAGTCCTTTGTAAAGTTCTTTAATAGTAATATAACCATCATGGTTCTTATCGATTGAGTTAAATAACATCACACTTTCTTTGATCTCTTCTTCAGTTACTTTAGCAGCAAGGTAAGATAGAATAGCCTTTTTCAGCTTTGAAGCAGCCTGGAAACGTCTCAGTCGGTCAACGTATACTTGCTTTGTTTCAACGGAGAACTCAGAGCTAGTGCACTTCTTTACCCATGGATGGTTAAGGCACTCTTTTGGAGTTATCCTCTCCTTTTCTGGGACTAAGATTTTTGAGATGAGATCTTTTGCTTCATCTGATATCTCTTCCCAGATTTTATCTTTAAATTCAAAAGTGCCTTCTAGGTTTGCTTTAAATATTTCTTCTTCAGTATCACCTGGGAATGGGGGAAGGCCTCAGAGCATTATATAGAGAATAACTCCTGCAGACCAGGTGTCACAGGCATAACTATAGTCATTCTTAAGTATCTCTGGTGCCATATAATGAGCTGTTCCGACCTTGCTCTTCATCCTTAAACATTTGCCTTCACCAGTTCTCTGAAATTTGTAAAATGATCTTGAAAGACCGAAATCAATCAACTTGACAGTAGAGTCTTTCTCCTTTGAAACAAACATGAAGTTGTCGGGTTTAAGATCTCTGTGGCATATTCTGTTTTTGTGACAATAGATGATTGACTGAATTATCTGCATGAAAATATTAGCAGCATCTCTCTCAGTGAGGTAGTCATTTTCGGTAATATAGTCGAATAATTCACCTCCCTCACAAAACTCTTGGACAAGATAAATCCCATCATTATCTTGATATGTCTCATAGAGCTTAATGATATTTGGATGATCTAGATTTTTCAATGCAGTAGTCTCATTAATGATATTTTGAGGATTAATGATCTTTTCAATAGGGATCTTTTTGATTGCTCTCAAAGCTCCAGTTTCCTTCTCCTTTGCACGATAGACTCATCCAAACCCACCTTCTCCAATAGGCACGCCTAAATAAATATTCTTAGATACTTACACCCAACAAAAGCCCATAACAATATCCCAAAATTGCCTAAAAAATTCCTATTCCTATCAAAATCCCATCCATAACCCTCACTTTCACCCCTCATCCCAAAAAATGCCAAAAATGCCAAAAATGCCCAAATCAGGAGTAAAAACCCTCAACTTTCTTCCCACTCTCTTCTCAAAGAACCAGTCTACTCCAGTCACCAAGCTTGATCTCAGACTCTCCAAGGTGTGCCAGTCTGGAGAACCTGTGCTTATAAGTTATGGCATGGCTTAAGAGCACAGAGGTCTGGAACAACCGGCCAGATTTAGCCCCTTCATAAGATGAGTGCAAATAGTAGTTGACTGGGATGAATAATTTATTGGAAGTTTAGGATAGAGATATTATGGCTGGTAAAATTTTCACCAAAATGAATAGGGCTTCTGAAATTTAAGCTCTGAGATTTAAGTAGCTGGATAAAGTTTAGTAATGTCTCTAGAGATGCTGATGATTTAGACTGAAAAGTTAGGTGTAAAAAATTAAAAAAGGTAAATATTGTGTGATTTGAGCAAAATTAATAACACTAACTACTTTCCCACAGAATTTCATAAGAGGGTTATAGGAGAAAGAATGGAAATTAAAGAGTTTTACTTGTTGTTTAAATTAAAAATTGGGCTAAAAACTAGTTTTAAAAGAAATGCAGCTAATATTTCGAAGGAAATGCTAAAAATAGGCAGGGCTAAACCAGAAAGTTCTTCAACACAAAATAATGCTTCTGGAAAGATCCTCAATTATATCTCGATTTTAAGTGAGTTACCATTATAAATCAGGAGTTAATTTAGATGACAAAGGAGGTAACTTATATTGCGTACATTGCTATTTCGAAAAATAATTCTGGAAGGCCAGCCCCAAACTGTAAGAAAAACAGTAAAAGAAAAGTCTAGGAGTTTATTAGATAAAGAAGAAAATTCTAATATTAAAATGTTAGAAATAGGTAGCAAACTTTATAAGAACAAAGATTTTGGGCCAAGAAACTGATAAGGGATCATATAAAACTGTAATTTTACAAGGGATCAATCTTGCTGAACCCCAGTAAGCTTTGCTATCTAATACTCTACATCAGGACATGCTGCTTACGCTCAATATCATAATCTTTGAAGATATCTCCATCTCTATGTAATACGAAGTAGTCCTTTTTAAATAACAAAGTTGTTCATTGCCTCTTCTACGTCAAACTCTTCTTTCTTCTCTTCTTCTTCCTCAGTCATGAATTCTTCGACGTAGACTTTCATTGTATCGTTTTCGTTCATATTCCTTTTGATTAGCTAATTTCAATATATTATGATAGTTTGGGGTTTTGGGGTTTTGGGGTTTTGGGGTTTTGGGG